CCGCCGTGAGGCGCCCAGCGCCGGCGCCGACGCTGGCGGGACGGCACGGAGCCTGGGCAGGCCCAGGGAGGGGGGTCCAGCGCCGATCCGAGAACTCTGCGCGGGCCTCCGAGTTTTTTGTTTTTGTTTTTTTTTTTGTTTTAAAAAATATTATTTCTTAAGTATATTTATATATATAAAAGTTGTTTTGATATATATATATATATATGTGTCACTTTCTGCTCCCCTAGAGAGAGGGTGAGGGGCGCGGTTGTGCAAGAGCAGTGCTGCGGTCTATTGCGTTTCGCTGGCAGGTTTGGGCGGTTGGCTGCCTCGTATGACGTGCTGGATGGGACGGGGCGGGTCTTCGGCAGCATCCTCGCACGAGCCAGGGTGATCGCGCCCGTCTCAGAATGCACGCGATGCGCGGCAGTTGCGGACGATGTGCCCGGGCAGATGACCATCGACATCCAAGTCGCCAAGAGAATTCGGAGGAATGCGGGCTGTCTCGTGTTGGGCATCGCTCTGGCGTTCGACGACGCGCTTGACAAGAATGTCCGCCACCGCGTGACACTAGTTTATGGGTGGGTTGCCAAATGCCCCGGCATACTCGCGCTCAACAGGCCTCGGAAACGAAATATAGCGAACACTCATGCCACATTCATCTGTCAACGCCTCCCCCTCCCCCCAATGTTCAAAGTTGGCGGTGGGTCTAATGAGTTGCACCTTGACCGCAGTCTCCCCCGGGCGTGCCAACTTTGAGTTTGCGGGCAGTGGGGGTGTTTACTAATGGTTTCCCTCTACCGAAGCAATGCTCTCAGGTATGGAAGCAACAAATGTCTGAACGTGGTTGTCAAGCCGACTCCGTTTTTGGGCGCGGGCGCATGGAATCCGGCCGCGCACCTGGAGCGACGTCTTTCGGGAGCGCAGCGGCGCAGGATCACAGCAACACCCTGGGCTAGGCAGTCTTCGGGCGCAGTGGGCGCCTTGCGTTCTCGGTGCGAGGCCATGGTTGCGCGGGCAACTGCGCAGTGTACCCGTAAGCCTTGGGGCCCCGTCTTGGCGCCGGACGCATTGCGAGTGGGCTGGCACGACAGTCGGACAGGGGAGTGCCGACCCTGCCTGAATTACGCGGCGCGTCTTGTGCGTCAGCTGCGAGAGCTTGCTGCCGCGAGCTCTTGATGGCAGGGGCACCCGGCGAGGCTCCGTGCATGGCGATGGGAAGCGGATGTCTGCAATTTGTTCCACCAGCTCGGTTTGTCATGGACAGACGCGGCTCTTAAATGTCGAGCAGTTTCTGGCCTGGAGAGCGCAACCTTTTTTCTGAACGGAGGATCGGGCGGGTGGCGTTCCTTTCAAAGGCACCCAGCCCCGCTGAGCCGTATGCCTCCTTGTCCCCTCCCTCCCCCCGTCCTCCTCCTCATCTTAGTCCTCCCTCTCCTCCATTTCTTTCCGTCCTTGCCTTGCTTAGAGTCCCCCTACCCTGTTTTTCCCTGCTCCCCCTCTCCACCCCTCTCCTCCTTGCACCCTTCTCGTTCACCCGAGCCCCTCCACAGATCCCCTTGGAGGCTGGCGGTGTCGGGGGTTGTGGGGGGGTGCCGGCGCGGTTTTTGTTGGGCGGGTGGCCCCCAAGAACGTGCGCCCAGAGGCTCCAGGAGGCTGGCGGTGTCAGGGGTTGTGGGTGGGTGCCGGCGCGGTTTTTGCTGGGTGGGTGCCCCCTAAGAACCTGTACCCAGAGACTCCAGGAGGCTGGCGGTGTCAGGGGTGGTGGGGGGGTGCCAGCGCGGTTTTTGCTGGGTGGGTAGCTTCGAAGACCTTGTGCCCAGAGGCTCCAGGAGGCTGGCGGTGTCAGGGGTGGTGGGAGGGTGCCGGCTCGGTTTTTGCTAGGTGGGTAGCGCCTAAGAACCTGTGCCCAGAGGCTCCAGGAGGCTGGCGGTGTCAGGGGTTGTGGGGGGGCCGGTGCGGTTCTTGCTGGGTAAGAACCTGTGCCCAGAGGCTCCAGGAGGCTGGCGGTGTTAGGGGTGGTGGGGGGGTGCCGGCGCGGTTTTTGCTGGGTGGGTGGCTTCTAAGAACCTGCGCCCAGAGGCTCCAGGAGGCTGGCACTACTCACTACTCGCTACTCCCGACACCCTAGTAGCTACGCAATACGCACTATTCACTACCCGCTACTCACTAGTCACTACGCACTACTCACTACTCACTACTCACTACTCACTGCTCCGTACTCACTAGTCACTATTCACTAGTCACTACTCACTACTTACTATTCTCTACTCACTACTCACTTCTCACTAACTCTCGACTCGCCACTCGCTATTCACTAGTTTCTACTTGCTACTCACTACTCACCACTCGCTACTCACTACTCACCACTCCCTTCTCGCTACTCCCTACCTATATTTCAAACTCACCAGTCACAACTCACTACGCACTACTCACTACCTGCTACTCCCTACTCGCTACTCACTACTCCCTACTCACTACTCACTACTGACTGCTCCCTACTCACTACTCACTCCTTTCAACTGCCTACTCGCTACTCTGTACTCACTACTCGCTACTCTTTACTCGCTACTCACTACTCACTACCCATTACCCACTACCCACTACTCACTACTGACTACTCATTACTCACAACGCAGTACCCATTATTTATTACTCACTGCTCACTATTCACAATTCACGACTCACTAGTACCTACTCTCTAGTCACTACGCACTACTCACTACCCACTATTCACGACTCATCATTCACTATTTACTATGCACTACTCCTTACTCGCTACTCACTATGCACTACTCAATACTCACTACCCACTACTCATTATTCACCACCCACTACTCACTACCCACTACTCACTACTCACTACTCCCTACTCCCTACCCAGTACTCACTACTCATCACTCACTACTCACTATTCTCTACTCACTACTCGCTACTCACTACTGACTAATCAGTACTTATCACTCAGTCCTCACTGCTTTGCAAGTCAGTATTCAGCATTCATTCACTATTCACGACCCACTACTCCCCACTCCCTACTCCCGATGCCCTACTCGTTATTCATTACCCACCACTTTGTACTACCCAGTACTCACTACGCAGTCCTCACTACTCACTACTCACTACACACTACACACTACTCCCTACTCCGTACTCCCTGCCCACCTTTTCCGGCGCAGAAAGGAGAAGTGGGAGAAGCCCCCTCCCCCCCTCCCCGGTCCCCTGTTCGGCGCAAAGGAGGGGGGGGGGTCTGAACCTCACCTCCCCCTTCCAGCGCCAAGAGGGGGGAGGGGGGGGTGTCCTGAGCCCCCCCCCCTTCAAGGGAGGGGGTGGGCGGGGTTCGGAACCCCTCCCCCTCCTTACGTGGGGGAGGGGGGGGGTCGAAAATTTCATCCCCCCTTTGAAGGGGAGGAGGGGGGGGTGTCGGACGCCCCCCTCCCTTTTCAATTACAGGGTGATCCAGTGGCGCAGTTTCAGAAATGGGCATTAAAAAACCCTCAGGGCTACTTTTGGGCCTCTGCTGGTCCCAAGACGGGCCCTGAGGAGCTCCTTGAGGGTTGTCCCCCCCCATTTAGATCACCCCCCCCATACCACCCGCCCGACAAGATGCGCCCCCCAAGAGGTGTCGACATGTTTGGGTCCAGGGCTCCCGTGGCGGCCCGGGTGTTGCCGGGCCGCGCCACGACTGGCGCGCGCGGCGGGCGAGCGCGGGGGGGGGGGACACCGCACATGGCCCCTCTGTCAACATGGCTGCGGGCCCCTCCTGCTGCTGCTGCTGCTGCTGCTCCCCCTCCATCTCCTCCTCGTTTCCCTCGTCTCCCTCCTCCAGCTCCTCGGATGGAGGGCGGTTGGTTTGTGGCTCTCGCTTTAGCGGCGCGCGCATTCTTTTTCCCAACCATCCTGTGGTGTTGGGTCCTCGTTTTGAAGAGACAGCGCCCCGCGTTCCTTCCTTCCCGCTGCCCCCTCCCTCCTCCCATCTTCATCATCATCGTCATCACCCATTTCGGCACACCCCTCACACGTTTCGTGGCCCCATAGGGAGCTCCACCGAAGGTCCCAGTGGGTGTGCCCGCATGCGTCCCGCACACCCATTTCGGCACACCCCTCACACGTTTCGTGGCCCCATAGGGAGCTCCACCGAAGGTCCCAGTGGGTGTGCCCGCATGCGTCCCGCACACCCATTTCGGCACACCCCTCACACGTTTCGTGGCCCCATAGGGAGCTCCACCGAAGGTCCCAGTGGGTGTGCCCGCATGCGTCCCGCACACCCATTTCGGCACACCCCTCACACGTTTCGTGGCCCCATAGGGAGCTCCACCGAAGGTCCCATGGGCTGTGCCCGCATGCGTCCCGCACACCCATTTCGGCACACCCCTCACACGTTTCGTGGCCCCATAGGGAGCTCCACCGAAGGTCCCAGTGGCTGCCGTCCGCATGCGTCCCGCACACCCATTTCGGCACACCCCTCACACGTTTCGTGGCCCCATAGGGAGCTCCACCGAAGGCCCCATGGCTGCCGTCCGCATGCGTCCCGCACACCCATTTCGGCACACCCCTCACACGTTTCGTGGCCCCATAGGGAGCTCCACCGAAGGCCCCAGTGGGTGTGCCCGCATGCGTCCCGCACACCCATTTCGGCACACCCCTCACACGTTTCGTGGCCCCATAGGGAGCTCCACCGAAGGTCCCAGTGGGTGTGCCCGCATGCGTCCCGCACCCATTTCGGCACACCCCTCACACGTTTCGTGGCCCCATAGGGAGCTCCACCGAAGGTCCCAGTGGGTGTGCCCGCATGCGTCCCGCACACCCATTTCGGCACACCCCTCACACGTTTCGTGGCCCCATAGGGAGCTCCACCGAAGGTCCCAGTGGGTGTGCCCGCATGCGTCCCGCACACCCATTTCGGCACACCCCTCACACGTTTCGTGGCCCCATAGGGAGCTCCACCGAAGGTCCCAGTGGGTGTGCCCGCATGCGTCCCCTCGGCACACCCCACACGTTTCGTGGCCCCATAGGGA